AGGGGATTTTGTCAATAAATCGTAGGATGAGAGTGATGGTAGCAGAAGAGTGCACCCTTAACAATACAATGTCAACTTACCCGCGTTTCTTCTTTGTTGTACCTTTTGTGAGAGACACAGTATCTTTTGTAGCTGTCCTAGTATGTCGGGTCGAACGCCGCGTTCCTATCGAAAAAGTCAGAAGGGTTCACGAAAACTAAACACCAGAGGAATGGCCTACCAGAAGCATGCTCGTCCCCGTCAGCGACACTCCTCGTCTGTGCAGTTTCAGTTACATCTCTTTCGTCCCGCTCCTTTCCGCCATCATCACTCTCATCACCTTCTTTCTCGTCACCATCGCCTCCCTCTTCTTCATCTTCATTTCCATCTTCAGCTCCTTCACTTGTTAGGTCACTATCCGATTCTTCCACAGCGCTCTTTCCAAGGCCAGGTTTGGTAGTACTACTGCTCGTGGCAGCCTGCGTCTGACCCCTCGTGGTTCTGCTTGTGGCAACGGATTCTTTTCTCCCATGCCCAGGTTGACCACCAGCTGCTGAACCTGATTCTCTTCTCTTGCTTGTGACAATCACGGAGCCCATAGTAGCAGCCAAGGGAGGCCAACCTGGCCCAACAGGTAGTTCGAATTCTCGTCGAAAGAATGGATACTGCTCTTGATCTTCTTCTGTCCTTTGTTGGTCCTTTCCTTTGAGTGGTTTATGGGATGAACGGGTTTTAACAGGAGAAGTAGGGGCAACCGACTCGTTTTCTTGATCTTCCAAGTCCATCCCATCCTCTGAAGACGATAAACTAGAGTCGCTTTCATGGGAGAAATAGCCTGGACGTTCCTAGATATAAGGTCAATTAATGAGATCTATCAAAGAGAAGGAGAGTCGCTGAAGCCTCTCTACTTTTGCCTTTGAATATGTGGAGATGCATCACTTACATAGCTCTCTAATCGCTCTATATTATAACAAGTCTTGAATTTAGCCCAGAGATCGTCAACAGAGATACGGCGACCTGTCGCTGACTTGATATAAGCGGCGACTGCCATCATGTTAAATTCTCTGTGAATGCCAACCGGACGCGCATCACAAAGACCCCTAAAGAATGCTATTTCTCCAGAGGTTGAATTGAGGAAAGCCAGCCCATCCTCGCTCATTATTATCTGGAAATGGGATCGTCGCCACTCGGTTGAAATAAGACAGGAGGAAGTGAATTTAAACTCCGCTGATTGGGTGCCATTGCCCGGAACTCGGACTCGGTGATTGGACTAAATGCGCACATCCAGCAAGTTTATTCATAGAAAGCACTGTCCATTTCAAGTCTTACATTGCATATATCATGATGATAACATAGGGCCAAAATAGCACAACTGCATGATATTAAACAAGTCATATTACCGCTTTAGAAAAAGAGAAGAGCGCAGCTGCCGAAGGGAATGGCCGCCGGCACGATGGGGTAAAGGGCGGATTGATGCTTTCAGAGGGAAGGAAGGACGAGGACGAATTGGATACTCGCAAATAAAAAAAAAGTCGATGAAACCAGGTACATTGAGTCCAGAACTGCAGCGTCGATACGTGGATGGGGACTGACACATGGTAACGATGCTTCAGAAGAATAGGTAAGTCACCACGAAGACCAAGACGCTAAGTACAGCGACCACGTTAAGTGGAACTCCATCAGGCCTGACGGCAGTCCCAATAACACTGGCACCGTCATCGAGCCCGCCATCGGTCATAGCATCTTGAACACTAGTTCCATCGTCGCTGAACACAGTTCGTCGTCGGGCAGCCATAGTATTGCTATTGGCAAGTAAGGCTTGCAACCGACTGATTTCTGCATTGGCTTCAGCAAGTTTAGCTGCATATTCGCCGGTGTGATCGTATGAAACATTAGGATTGGCAGAAACACTGCCAACACCGACATTTGCGTTATAAGATGGCTTGATAGGAGAGGCGGCAGGGCTTGGGATTGGTTCAGGCGCTGAATCATGCGCCTCTTCGTGTGCGTGCAGGTAATCTGCATGATCTGGCGTGTGCGCTCTTGGGGGATTGTCAAATACGGGGATCCCTGTAATATTATCTCCAAGAGAGTGGCCATTGCTGCTGGGATGTTGCCGGACCGTATCATAGTGTCGCATTCCCTGGAAGAACAAGACATTAGCAACATCGCCTTCGGAGTTGAAATGGAAGAATTCAGACGAAAGATACTTACAGATTCACCTTCAGAGATCATGCTCGACTGGTGTGCTTGGTCACCCTCATCTTCCTCAGGAAGGGTTCCTTGTGCGGGCAAATAAACAACCTTTAGCTTTTGTTGATGGACTCTGGTTCCCTCATCTCCGGGAATACTTGTCCACTGTTGCAGTGAAGACGTTAGCCACGCCGCTGCGGAACACGTATAATCCCAGCAAACTTACCAGATCATTTGAGGCCAGATTTTCTTTTTCTGGGGTGATGATCGTGCTTTGGACAAGAAACTTGTCTTTGCATTTGAAAGACAACGGTGGGTCCTCCTTCATTGGTTGGAGCAAGACTGTTCAACATCAACGGGAAGAGAAGGTGAGCCTGCCGTTCAGGAATCGAGCGGAGGCGTTAAACATACCGGAAACGTCTACAGATTCTCCTGGTTCAATTCTTCCTGCATTTGGGCGTACACAATATAGCTATGTCAAATCGAAAGGAGATGAGCAATTTTTGCATGTTATAGGCATTGGTGGATGACGAAACCAACCTTTGGAGCAGTTGTCTTGACTTTGAAGGCCACAGGGTGGGAATTATAATTGTATACTTTTAGATTTTGCTTAACTAGTGATGTGAAAGGCTCTGAAATGGACCAACGTCGAGAGGGCGAACGTCAGCAATCGCCTGAACGACCGGAGGAATGCCAGGTGTCGATAAGGCCCTTAGATGACTCACTTCGGAACGAAAGTTGAGATGATGGGTCTAGGGATACGCTCATTTTTTGGGTCGCTTGCGGCGTGCTATGGTGGCTGGTACAAGAGGGTGGTGCTGGGTTCAAGGGACTTGGTACTCCGCCTGAAACCCCTGACACATTGAAACATTCGCACAACCGATTTACAGAGGAACGAGGGACAATCATTTCTCTAGTGACTTTAAACATGATAAATTTCGTCTCGCATCACTTTAGGCCCCATTGTACTGTCTCCCCGTCATGCCTTGGAATGGCGTGATTCCATGGTAGATCGCGGAAATCGTGACGAGTTGGTGACTATTGCTCAGACCAACGACTGTAATTCATTCTCACTGGTATATGGCGTGTTACTTGAGGTACGGCGCACAAAGTCCTGCACAAATTATTGTCACGGCTGACACTTTATTCAGAATCAACATCTAGCATGACACCGTCGATACACCCGTCGAAGTCATCAATCGAAGGAAACGTCTCGTCATTACCAATTTCTGATTTTCCTCCGTAACTACCATCACTATAGTCACTATCGTTGTTCCTGGTCTTGTGCGCATCCACATCCAAAAGATCCAGAGGTGAGGTAAGGGGAGAGTCGTAATTTATCTAAGGCTTGTGAGCAATCGCAGACAAAAGGGACTTTGATGAAAAAAATGTCACAGTTGACCATGGGTGCATAGATGGGGGTGTTATGGGGCGACTGTGGAACTCACCCGGTGGAAGCTTGAACCGCAAGACCACAAAGAAGTCGGAAGAGGGTTTGATTCGCCGCATTCGGAAGCATCAAGTAGATCTTCACAAACACCTATACTGTCTGTAAGGTCGATATCGCTTGCATCCAAGTCTTCGTCTCCTTCAACTTTTTCGTCTGGCCCTCCATTCTTCCATTCCACCTTACCTATCTGTGGTGGATAATCCAACTCCAGTAAATCATCCATAGGAAGTAAATCCGTATCGAACTCAAGCTCAGGGTGCACCAAAGTGGAATGGTCATGCTCTTCCCATACTCGTGAATACAATAAATCTGCATCCATCTCTCGTTGATCGCCATGAATTTGACTTTCCTCCTCTTTCTTGTGTTGGTGGTCATGTTTCTGGTCTGTCATAGGCGTCAAGTGTCCTGTTCCATTTTGGAGAGTAAGAGTATCAAGACCAGTCGAAACGTCAATGATGTGCGCCAAAGGTGGTATAGGTGCCTCTAAGAGCTGCAGATACGGAGATAGATAAGGATTCCATTTAGTGCCATGACGCTGTTAGAAGAAACCGAAGCATGGTCGGATACCTTGAACGGCTTCCTTGAACGCTTTTTGCCATTCAGAATTAAATGAGTGGCAAAGCCTAGAATTTGCTTTATGTCGTCCTCAGAGTGATGGGAACCATGATCGAGATCAAGCTGGCGCTCCGATTGACGGGTGAGCTTGAGTTGTTCTTCGAATCTCTTTTTCACAGCCTGCGAATGGGCACCTATACGCTATCGCCAGCCGATTATGTATATGCAACGTTCCTTTTCAGACAACCTATACCTCAATTTGACTTATTGCCCGCCGTTGGAAGGCTCCAATCCCGACCGAGGAACGATGCAATAAGTGATGGAGATGTCGTCCAATATGCTGACACATTTCCATCTCGTTGGCAACAATCTAGCACAGATATAAAATGTTTGTTTCCGTCGTGAGCAAGCAAAAGGGCCTCACCTCCTTCCATGGTCCAAATACGAGAGGTAAAAGTCTACGGATGTGAACCGGATGGAAATGTGCCGGAATACGTAGACCTACCTCACCATCTGTCCTCCTATAAATTTTTGGAGAGCTTGGTTCAGTAGTCTCCCGAAAAGCGGTGACTGGTAAAAGTTAGTATCGTCCTCCACTTTCCCGGAGGACTCGGCCTGGTCGGGAGGCAAGTAGGAGAAACTGTAGTTCAGAGTAATAGAGTCCATGATTGCCAAAGGAACTAGCTTATTGTTGGATAGCGTAGGGTTACCCATCTTCATAGTCACTACTTCACTGTAAGCAGCGATGGCGAATACGGATACGGCCGTCACTGACCGGACATTGCTTGAGTGTCGAGTGGAGCTATAGAGGATATGCCAAGCTGTTCCATGTTCTACAAGTTTGTTAGAATGTAATTCAGCTGGACACGACACAAATCACGCTCACCTGTGACAAAAAGGCTTTAAGATGGCCTATTAGTAGTGGAAGTAGAGAATCACGCCCTCTTGTGCGTAGTATGAACTTGAATTCACGTTCCACAATGATGTCCATTTCCTTTGGTATTCTTCTTTTGGGCTGTGGCGGAGAGGAAGGCTGAGCATTGGCGCTTTCGTGATAAATAGCGATCACATTTGCAGAAAGCGCGAGGTGAATTTCTTCAGATTTTAGATTAATCTTCGGGAAAAGACGGGAAAGGGGCTGTGGCATAATTGGGTCCAACCACCATCACTGCACACGGCGTAAACAGTTGTTGGGCCTGGTCATTCTTGGACCCGGCTATTTCTTATCCTTTTTACGAGTTTTTGTCTGCATCAAACAGCAACCATGCCAGACCCAACATCTCCGACTAAGGAAGAGATCGAGGAGAAAATGGCGGATATCCTCGCGCGTATCGCCAAGGAACAGAAGAGCATAGACGCTTTAAAAGCCATCAGACTGGCTACCAAGAACGCAGATGTCCTACGAAAGACCGATGCGGAGGAACGCGAAGCAAGAAAGAGTCTCGAGTACTTTCACAGTACACTTGAAGACCTCAAACAGAAACGTGATTCGTTGGCCAGAAATGCTAACAATTACCCTGGCGGGGGTGGCTCGCGCTTTCCAGGAGGTTATGGAGGTGCTGGTGGCTACGGTGCTAATGATCACGAGCGTCCATTGCCAGCTCCTCCCCATGATGGTCCTAACGATAGTGCCCCAAGAGCTCGCCAGTATAGCAGTCTCGGTGAGAACGGATGTTATATTCATATGGCTGAAGATCTGATGGTAATACCTCCAAGACTTGATCAAAGCTGATACTCCCCATACCCCTGCCAAGATCCAGAAGATGCTCAATCAGCTCGAGTTTAAGCTTCAAGTAGAAAGACAATATCAGAAGGGCTTCGACCTAATGCAGCGCGCTTATACGGCTGATGGTGACAAGAAGAGCCGGCAAGATGCTCAAAATCAAAAGATTGAAAGTGACAAAACTATTCAACTTTTATCATCTGCGCTGAGGCGCTACAAGAACTTACATGTCATTGAAGTAGCCGAGGAAGAGGATGCCGCAGGTAAGCGTTCATCCACATAATGGCTCGTCTCTTGCTCACTTTGTCATTTTACAGAAGGGCCATCTCCTGCTAACCCGATCGGGGATAGAAAGGGGAATCTCCGAAAGCCTCTAACTGGAACCCTGCAAATTACGGTCAAAGCTGCTCGAGAACTCGAACATGCACCACTCACTAGCAGCAAGAAATCTAGTAAATCCAACGTAATCGAAACTACCGTGGTCCTCAAGATCGAAGGCAATTTTCGAGCTAAGTCACACCCATCACGCACGGATCGCTG